CGCTTTGTTTCAATCCACCAGATTCTCTCTTAGAGAAGGAGGGGAAATCTCCTGTGCCAGTCAGATCCAATTCAACGGTATGCAGCAAGGGCCGGGGAGGAGGGGGTGGGAGTGCGTGAAGGATAACACTAAGAGCGAGCTGCCACCTCCAGTTCTACGTGAGGCGGACTCCGTGTGGCCAGATGCCATGGAGGTCAACTGGTGTGTGGAGCTCAGGACTTGAATGTCAGCTCTGACACTCATAGTCATGTGATCATAATGAGAAGTTAGTCCATCTTTCTCTGATTTGGTTTCCTGTCTTGTCAGGATACTAGCAGGACCTAAGGAGAAAAGACTGGCAACTAGCTACTTTTAAAAATCAACCAACAAAAATCCCTGTGGATCACATCAATCCAATCATAGGAATGATCACTGCCATTCTGGAGACTTTTACAGGATGAAGCAGCATATTGGTATAAATGGATCATGATGAATTGAAAGCCAGCCTTGAAAGCAGCTGCGAACAACAACAAAAGATAATAATTCATGCCTCATAAAGTTGTTGAGAGGACAGTCATAGGAAGGAGGCATTTTTCTTGGACTTTTAAATATGGTTTATCAGCAGAGATTGGAGAGAGGCAACCCAAATAATGAAAACAGAAAACAAAAATGTTCTGGTAAGAACACACCATCCCATGTAGTTTTCTAATGTTCTTCCATTCATCGATGCCTTTGAATTGTGGTGTTGGATAAAGAGTGCTGAATATCCTTTGGACTGTCAAAAAAACAAACATATCTGTCTTTAAAAAAGTGCAACCAGTGGAGTGCTCCTTAGAGGCAAGGATGGTGAAACATCGTCTCAGTTTCTTTGGGCATATTTTCAGGAATAATCAGTCCTGACAGAGACATCATACTGGGAAAGACAGAATATCAGTAAGAGGAAGACCCTTCATGGGATGGAGTGACATCCTGACTACCACAATGGAATTGAGTATGACAGATTGTGAGGACGGTGCAGGAGAGGACAAAGTTCAAATCTGTTCTTCACAGGGTCACAAGGAGTCACAGTCAGCTGACTAGCACAAGTAGATAACAACAATCTTATGTGGTAGAATCATTTCAGCTGAAAGTGGGATGTGTACTCTAGGGCCCTCTGATGGCTAGAAAAATGTACCAGCTCAATTCTTAAGGAAATGAATGTAGACTTAATAGAAGATGATGAAACACAAAAATAGGGAGGATCTGCCCATCTGCTTCCACTGCCTGGTGAATGGCAACCAAAATGTAGAGTGGAGAATGATGGATATTGGAGAATAAGGAGGAAACCATTAAAGTTATTCAGTGAGACTAGTGATAGTTACAAAAGGAGTGAGAAATGGATAGGAGAATTCAAAAGTGAATTACAAAGAAACGGTCAGAATCATGAGTAGGTCTGAATGTTCAATCTGCAGTGACTAGAAGAACAGTGCTGCCAGAATTAGAAATGAGAAGATGAGAGGGAGAACACAGACTTTGAAATAGTTCTACACCTTCTCATTTTGTTGATCAGGAACACTGTCTAGGTGAAATATCCAGCTAGTTGTTGGAAATACATGAACTAGGGTCAGAGGTTTGGTGGCTTATGATAAGGAATTGTGCTGCCAATATAAGTGTATGTGGTTCGAAGATTCCAGTTGCTCCATGGAGAAAAGATGGTCAGTCTCCTCTTATGCTATTTATTTCCTCCAAAAACCTGCTGGTGGGTCAGCTATGGGTTGGTTCCAACTCAGTGGCACACAACAATAGGGTCAGGAAGAGAGGCCAACACTAGGGAGAAAAATTTCAGTTTCATCCAAAAGTATCCGATCCTTGGAGTTGCTCAAATGAATGGGACAACCAGAAAGAAGAATTAGTGTGAAATATGACAAGAGATGCAAAGAAAGGTAAACAAAAGGTAGAAATAGGTGAGTTGTTCAAAAAGCTAAGGGAGATGAAATAATTGTACTATATATCGAAGGCTAGAGAAGAAAATTCCAGATGGGGGAGGGAAATAAAGACCCAGGTAAGGTCAAGAGCTGACAGCACTTAGGAAAGTTAGTCCCTCTTCAAGATGAAGGTGTAAAGGTGTAGGCACACTTAGTTTTCCTACAGAGGTGATGTTCTTTCTGTAGTCCTGTAAATGCTTAACAGTCACAAGCATAAAATTCATAGAAAAAAAATGTTCATTTAACTTATTAAAGCAGACATTGGCTAAGTTATTAGCTATTACCCGTCTGATTGTAAGACATGAAAAAGTTGGAAGAAGTCTAATGGGTACTTTTATCTGCCTGGGAAAGGTCACTGTCAGCATCAAATACTGAATTTTAGATTGGTACTACAGAGAACAGATATATATTAAAATTCAAATTAGACTTCAAAAGGACTGATTTGCTTGAGATTGTGTCATTTAAAATAATATGTTGCAATAAATCTGACTCCTTAGATGGAGATTACTTAAATGTTTAATGCTAGTCTATCAGGTTGTTTTAATGGATATGTTTTTATTATAGTTTTAATTTTAGAAAACTTTCGGTCAGTTTAAAAGATAATTTGAACAATGATTGTAAAAAAATGTTACAAATCCAATTTAAATCTTGATTTTTCTTTCTTTATTTTATAACACAGTGTACCATTAATACTAACCTGTAATTGGTATGAAATATGTCCTGTATTAAACTTGACAGTGTGATTGGAAAATAAGGTGTTCTGTTAATCACATACTATTGTTAATAGCACTGTCTGTGGGTCTCCAATTAGTTTTCCATCCACCAGTTCATACTCATTTTTCGTCATAGCCTTGATTGCCATTCCCACAATGTCATAACGCTATTCTCACTTCCTCTCTGTATTTATGGTTTCTATTCCTCCTTCTATCCTATCTCTTTTTCATTCTGAGATTTATCCCTGGACAAATGTTGCTCATTTTTTCCCCAGTTTTTATGGTTATCATTTTAAGGCGTACGTACTTCCCAGAGTTGTTCACCTGTCAGGCTAGTAGCTTATTTGGCTGATGATTGAGGCACAGGAGCGAGTTCAGTGCCAGGCTTGGAGGATATTTAAGGGCCATAGTCTTGGGAAATCCACTCTACCTCTATCAGACAGTAAGATTGGTCTTTTTGATGATTGTAAACTTTGCTCCATATTTTTCTGCCACTCCATGTAGGACCTCCTATTGCAATTCCACCCAGGAAGATTGTCCCTAGCAGCCAGATATTGTCTATGTCCACTGATCTCAGGATGGTGGAAGCTGGAGTTCTCATAATCCATTGATACTTTGGACCCATTGTTGCCTTGTATCTGATTTTTTTTAACTCCCCTTTGCTCTGAATGAAGCCAAACCAATAGTTAAAACTTAGGTGGCTACTCACACACTAAAAAGACCTCAGTTAATACTCACCAAAGTAGAATGTAAATTGATCTGATGTCCCTCAAGACTATGGTCCTGAGCCCCTAAGCCCAGTGACTCATCCCCTCAAGGTATTTATTTATGACTAAGAAGTTTGGATGCCTTTGTACTTAGACGCTCTAGTATATTAGTAGATATTTTTCCAGGGCATATAAATATATATTTCAGAACACCCTCTTTCAGTGTAGTGTCATTTTCTAACACTCCCTCACCCAACTCCTCCCCATGCTCTGGGAATTTTTAGCTCTAGGCTATAATAAATAGGGAGCTCTGCCAACCCAAAAGACATGGTTCAAATCCGCCAGTTGCTCTGTGAGAGAAAGATGGGCACTCTCCTCCCATGCAATTACACTGTCTCTGAAAACCTGCTGGAGTTGGTTCCCACTCAGTACATAACAACAACAACAAGGCTATCATAACTTCAGATAGTTCAATTATATAATGATTTTTTTAGTCAATTAAAAAACAAAACAAACACTGGTAGCCATTTTTGTTGTTGTTGTTGTTGCTATGTGCCGTCGATTCATTTGCGACTCATAGCGACCCTATG